TCCCCCGATGCAGACCATCCTAGGCACACTCCCCTGTCAGCATTCACACACCCCAGCAAGAACAGTCCCAGTTCGTCACACAGGGAAGCCAGGGGACTGACACACAACCCCCAGGAGCAAATTTACATCACTATGGGGCAGACGGGAGGAGGTCTGGTACAGGCCCCCTGCCTCCCCATGCTGTCTGGGGGCGAGAACCAGGAGTCCTGGCTCCCAGCCCCCCTGCTCTGACCCACCAGGCCCCATTGCCCTCCCAGAGCCGGGGAGAGAACCCAGGAGTCCTGGCTCCCAGCCCCGCCTGCTCTGACCCACCAGGCCCCACTCCCCTCCCAGAGCCGGGGAGAGAACCCAGGAGTCCTGGCTCCCAGCCCCCCCCTGCTCTGACCCACCAGCCCCCACTCCCCTCCCAGAGCCGGGGATAGAACCCAGGAGTCCGAGCCCCCAGACCCCTGACTCTGCCCCACTCCCTGGTCAGTGGAAGGATCCCCGGTGTGGTGGCCAGGCGCCTGCCCTGGCCCCTGCCTGTGGGGCGGGATTTCCAGTGGGGGTGGGACCGGGGGCCTGGTTTCCAGGGCCGTGAGTCAGCAGCCCTAGAATACCCCGGCCGGCTGTAAGGAGACACCTGGTTTTGTACCACGCTGCCCGTGATGGGGTGGGGCTGGGGCGGGGGCGTCTCTGGAGAATCCCCCGCATGCAGCATCCAGGCACACGGCCCCGTCCTCCTGAGGTGTGAACCCCGGTGTCCGGGCGGAGCTCCCTGGAACCCCGCCCTGGGAATAGAGACCAGCTTCTGAAATAGCAGCTGTGCTCCACCCCAGAATGAGTTGCAGTTTCACCCCAGGCGAGGGGTCCCTGTGTAACCGGCCGCCCCGCCCCAGAGGTGGCCGCATCTCAGCGCCGGGCGAGGGGTCTCCGGGGAACTGGCCGCCCCGCCCCAGAGGTGGCTGCGTCTCCGTGCCCGGCGAGGGGTCCCTGGGTAACCGGCCGCCCCGCCCCAGAGGTGGCTGCATCTCAGCGCCGGGCAAGGGGTCTCCGGGGAACCGGCCGCCCCGCCCCAGAGGTGGCTGCATCTCCGTGCCGGGCGAGGGGTCCCTGGGTAACTGGCCGCCCCACCCCAGAGGTGGGCGCATCTCCGCGCCGGGCGAGGGGTCTCCGGGGAACTGGCCGCCCCGCCCCAGAGGTGGGCGCGTCTCAGCGCCGGGCGAGGGGTCTCCGGGTAACCGGCCGCCCCACCCCAGAGGTGGGCGCATCTCCGCGCTGGGCGAGGGGTCTCCGGGGAACCGGCCGCCCCGCCCCAGAGGTGGCTGCATCTCCGTGCTGGGCGAGGGGTTCCTGAGATTGCAGATGCCCAGTACCACGTCCTTCTCCCCTCCCCCCCCCCCCCACCGACTCCTGCATGCACAGTCACACACCGCACAATCGCAGACCCTACTCCTGGACAGCCACGCACATCGTCACACCCTACCCCAGCCACTCGCACTCAATTCCACGTCATTCCCCGGACTCCCATGCGCGCACAGTCGCACACCGCACAATATCACATTCTACCCGCACACAGTCGTACACCCTATCCCCAGACACCCCCACACAGACAATCACACACCCTAACCACCTACGCCACGCGCCCCATGACATCTCCACCTCTTCCTGCGCCCCGCCCCCAGCCGGGCAGGACAGGGTTAACAGCCGCCCTGGTGAGCTCAGGGAGGGTGGCTGTTGGGGGGGCAGCCCCCCCTCCCCGTAGCTATTTCGGTCCCATTGAGAGTTGGGAGGGGGCAGAGCACGGCTGGCTGGGCTGTGGGCGGGAGACGGGCAGACGCCCAGGGGCTCAGGGCGGGGGGGAATCCCCTGCCCGCCCCCCCCCAAGATGTCACCGCCTCTTGGGGAAGTTTTGGGGGAGCGGTTGGTTCTCTCCCGTGCCGTTGGGACCCAGGAGTCCTGGCTGGTAATTCCACCCTGCTCCCTGCTTGCCCCCCCTCATTCCTGCATGCACGTGGGTGGGTGGGGGGAGCCCCTCCCCCCCCATCCCTGCCAGGAAATTCCCCTTCCTGCAAGGAGCTGGCGCTCCTGGCCCCTCTGCCCAGACCTATGGAGAAGGAAGGTACCGGGGTTGGGGGGCTGGGGGTCCGTGTGGCACAGGGCACTAGTGAACCCCAATGCCCCCACTGCGGGGGGGCGGGGTTGTCTGGGGAGTACCCGGGTGGGTTGGGAAGGGGAGTATGGGGCTGGATTGTGGGGGGCAGCAGAGGAGAGATGGGGCTGGATTGTTGGGCGTAGCAGGGCAGGAATGGGGCTGGATTGTGGGAGGATGCGGTGGATTGTGGGGTGCAACGGGGGAGGATTGGGCTGGACTGGGGTGCATTGGGGAGGGATGGGATGGACTGGGGTGCAGTGGGGGCTGGGGTGCAGGGGGGAGGGATGGGGTTGGATTGTGGGGTGCAGTGGGGAGGGATGGGCTGGACTGGGGTACAGTGGGGGCTGGGGTGCAGGGGGGAGGAATGGGCTGGATTGTGGGGTGCAGCGGGGGAGGATAGGGCTAGACTGGGGTGCAGTGGGGGGTGGGGTGCAGCAGTGGAAGGGATGGGCTGGATTGTGGGGTGCAGGGCGGAGGGATGGGGCACAGTGGGGGGCTGGAAGGGGGCACATGGTGCGGCGCGGGGGGCAGGCTGGATGGAGGTGCCTAAGGACAGCCACATGCTGGGAATGCCCCCCCCAGAACAGCGCGGCCCCCCCCCAGCTCCACTCCCAGCTGGGGGGCTGACTGGGCTCCGCCCTGGGG